GTTGAAAAGAACCCACAGGTGCTCGTAGTATCCACTCTTAGAACAGTTCCACCTGATTGGAATATTGCTTGTACCACGGGTGGTCTAGTGATGCTGGCGAACAATCAGTGTACCAGCCACCACCTGCAATCTCAACGGAAGCTGATGAGCTTGATGAAGAGTTAACAAAAACAGCGGAAAAGTAAGTTTGATCCATTGTGACTCCCCACTACAAATAGAAAGACAAGCTAACTCTCTTTTGTTTCGTTCTAGGATCCTCAATCCCAAGTCTGGGAGGAGATATCCAGCAAGAGACCACCGGTTGCCTGCACAATTCAGGTCTCCATTCATACTCCAGAAGAAAAATAAGAAAAAATTCATACAGTGGACAGAGGAGAAGAAGAAAATAACCAAAGGAAAACCACTGATGATAGACTTCACTCTCCTTGTACAAAGAAAAGAAGATATAGTTCGACCAGGGTAATAGTCACCATCTAGCATGCGCAGACAGGACAACATTCTATTCCATGAGGGAACGAAAGTGCGTAGAAAACAGCACCATAGATGCATGGTTTGTCATCCTAAATAAAGAAGAAGCCAAGAATACCTTCCCAACACGAATATACTTCGGTGTTTCGTTATTTGTAAGTCAACTAAACCCTTATCATTTTTTTCGTCCTCGTAAAATACTTGTCAAACGTGTGCAAAGTGTTTAAACATGTGTTTGTACTGATTATCCAATTCGTTACTAATGCTTGTCCAACCATGTTTTTCTAACTGCTTACACACTGTACTTTTCACATTTTGTCTGCTTATCCACTATATCTAAACTGGTTATCCAAACTTTCCTGCATTTTGCTATGGGATTGTTTTTCTTGACCTTGTATGTGGTTGCTTGTCCCTGATTCATTTGCTGGTTATCCATCTTTGTTGTACTGATTATCCATAAAATCTGAATTGGTTATCCACGCCTTTATGCATGTCATATAGGATACTTTTGGTTGCCCTTGTATGTGCTTGATTCCAATTATCGTTATATTTGTATCCTTTTCTAACCATCTCAAATAATAACGCAGGATAAAGTTAGTCGCATCACTGAAGAGAACCCTGACAAAGGAGAATGGAGGTCGAATTTCTTCAGAGGATGAATCTTGAACTAGAAACCCTATTAACAGCAAAAGCTTTAAGCAACATCTTTCACCCCCTTCACTCTTTCTAAACTAGATGTTAAAAAATTTTGATATAATTTTCCATTCAGTGTGAAATACCAGATCTACTTCCCAGTATTCATCAAAAACCATTACTTTCTATACGTGTTGCTGGTTGAACAAATGGAAGTGCTTGCATTCAACAACTTTCCTACGGAAGACTCGGACTACTACGAGCCGACAAAAAAACTACTTGTGAGAGAAAAAAAGAAACAAATCGATTGTCATACTGTTAGCATTATCCATTGCATTTTGTTGATCTCTAGATTTTCTGGAATCATAGTTTAGGTTCTTCAAAAATTTCATTGCATAAATATATCCAAACATAGAACTGGTCAGTACTGAATACAATTTCACCGTGGTTAGCCTACCATCGCATAAGCACAAACTGCGAAATGTGAAAGATTACGGAATATACACAATGCATCACATGGAATAGTATGACGGTGGTAAGTATGATGCTGGTACTACTATGGACTTCAACATGAAACATCCAAAGCTATCGGTGGAAATACTTGACCAGGATACTCATGCACCTAGTCAATGGACAGAAGACATTGATCCTTGCCGACATGCATTCATTCTATGAAGATACTGTTGAAAAAAATCCATAAGAAATTCCAGATCGTGTTGATTTGAGCAGTGAATGTTACTATAATGACAAACAGGATAACAGATGGGTTAAATAAACTGTCATAATGTTCTCTTGTATAATTGATTGACTGGTGATCCTAAAATGTTGGATATCCAACAGCTGTGTACTGTCCATCCTAGAATATTATCCAATCGTTTCTATTGCTTATCCAGGATATTTGTATTGGTTATCCAACTTGTTTAGATCTGATTATCCGAATGTTTTATTGATTATCCAGTCAAAAAAGAATGCAAGTATAGTTTTTAACCTGCTTATCCAGCTACTTGGATGTGCTTATCCATGAGTTTATACTAGTTATCCGAAACTTTAATACTACTTATCCCTGTATACCAAATGCCTATCCACCATGGATACTGGACTTCAAGTCTTTTAGAAAACTGTCAATAACTGAATAACAAAGATCAAACAAATGGACATAAAATTAAATCAGATATCTGAAAAGACAACCACAATATTAGGGACTGTGGGGAGTGGTTATTGTTGATAACTACATAGCCACACATATATTCATCAACTTCAAAGAATCAGGGGCAATTATCTAACTGTCATTAAAGAGCTTATCATGATGGGGAGTTAATAAACATATTACCAGAAAAGACACATGTTTCTGTAGGAGGATATGATCAAAATGGTTAGTTAAAAAAAAAAAAAACTGAACAGACACATGCTTCCCACCAACATTTATATAAAACTCCCTATCCTCTGCACATACACAGAAGGCCTGATTTGAGCATCCAAACATCCAACAGCCAAAAAAAATTTCCTCACATTCCACAACCAAACAAATGGCCCCCAGGCAAGCAAAGGAAGAAAAAAAAACGACTACCCTGAATATATCCATCACGATATGCTGATAATATGTTCATTAATCTTACCTTGAACAAAAATTGGTCAATTCCGTCGTGTAAGGAAAGTTTGGGAGGCAATGATGAAAATGACAAGAATTTGTTATTAAAAAACTTGAGGTGTACTACCCTGCAAGTGCAAACAACATCCTTGCTTTCACTCAAACAAGTCGAGAAGATCACTAGTTGGAAGACAAACTAATCGCCACCAACATAAAAGTGCAAATGAATAACACATGCAACTACATACGATTGCAAAAAGAGATGTCGATGGGTGACGACGACATCCATCAGATAATGCCTGTCACCACAGATAATGCCTGCCACCTCTCAAATCAAATTCTTGAACCCAAAGACAAGACAACTTGCATCAGTTGAATGGCCATATCGTGTCCCTCTTGGAAATTGTAGAACAACATTTGGGTACATATCATCCTCAAAAACATACATTTTCATGGCCCTTATTGCCAATGGAGAAACATGCATGGCTGCATTTTTCTTTTCAAATTTGTTCGAGTATTCAGTCGGGGGCGCGCAAAGAACTTTGCAATCAATGTTCTCGTCTCGTATCTGATGGAATCTGCTTTGTTAGATTTGTGTACTGCCCTGTAGACAAAATATCCTCCATAATAGCACCCCCTCAAGAGTTGCTGGTCGTGTTTGACACGCACACTAAACAATTCCAAACCATAAATTGTCCTCCATTTCCCACCTTTTATAACCATGCTGCTGCTTTCAATTTGAATGTCCGAGTCAAAATATTGGATTTCATGGGAACTATGTGTGTAGTGGATGAGTACGAGATCATTCATCATGGTCATTGTGAGATGTGGGCATGGGAACCAGATACTTCCACATGGCATTGCAAGTTCGAAACACATGATTTCCCACAAGTGAACACAACCACTCCGTCTGGAGCAACATCCCGTCCTGATTGGTTTTATCTAATGTTTCTAAGCCACAAATCATCTCCAGCAGGACAATTCATTGTCAAAGGATACGATAATCGACATTTGCTGTTGTATAGTGTTCCTACTAGGAAAATCATGCACTCAAGTACACCGTCAGATTTAGAAACAAATTTGATCATTACAGTATGTTACTTCTGGGAGACATTAACACACTCTAGAATTTTTTTTCCCCTTTCTCCTGTTACCTTATGAATGAAAATAATTGTGCAGTTTTTGTATACTGGTTATCCAATGACTTTTTACTAATTATCCATCTTCTTTATGTTGGTTATCCAATAATATTATTTCTGAAAAAAGCTTGTCCAATTTGATCATAGCGATGACCCAACTCATCAAAACTGTCTATCCATCTTTTTTGTACTGGATAATGTTCATAAAAAGGAGGAGAGAAAAAAAAATGGTTGGATAAACATTACCAAACAGTTGGATAAACATCACCAATTAGTTAGATTAATAGTGTGAACGTGTTGGACAAGCATTTTCTCGAGAGAAGAAAAAAAGAAAAAAAAGATTGAACAAGTAATGTATACTATTTGGACAAGCAGTAAAAATAATTAGATAACCAATACAAAAGGATTGGATAATCACTACGAACACATTGGATAACCGTGTTTCAAAGAATGAAAAATGATTGGATAAGCAGAATAAACAAAATGGATAACCAGTATAAGCGTATTGGATGATTATGTTTTCCAAACAAAAGAAAATGATTAGATAACCAATACAAACAATTTGGATAGGCATATAAATCCATTGGATAACTAGTACACATAAGTTGGATAGGTATACAAATCAAATGGATATACAGTCCAAACAAGTTGGATATCCAGTACAAACTAGTTCGATAAGTATACAAATCCGTTGGATTATAACTACAAAAAAAGTTGGATACATATACAAACCAAATGGATAAATCATCAGTTGGATATATAATCATTTTAAAACTGTGTGACTCGAATTTAAATAAAAATCTTTAGACCATCCATATTATTTATTTCAACATTAGGTAAAATACTAATAAAATATCTTGTTGAAAAAACGCTGTGCTCCAGCCACCAGAATTTTCATTCAAACACGGCATGCTTTGACGACAACCATCCACAGGCCAAGACATTCGTCCGCCCGAAAACTCCCGGGCAGCTTCCCTTGCATTAGGAAATGAGAAACCACTAGAAAAATTTTCATAGGAGAACGGTAGAGTTTGACGACAACCATCAACAGTGCCAGACTCTCCTCTGCCCGAAAACATTCCCCGATTAGAATCCCCTGTAACCTGACCAAAGTAGGATTTCGATTCCATCATACTTTGGTAATGCAGCTATGATGCAACTGAAGCTCTTGTTCAGTTAGCAACAATTCTTGCATTGTTTTTCCTGCCTCTAACTTTGTTACAAGCCTTCTCAATAATGCTTTTAGGACGTTCGTTCCTAGGACCAATCTTCTTCTTCTTTACAACTGGATTCTTTATTGCTCCATCATTGTCTACACACTCCTCATCATTATTAGTCGGACCAATGAAACTCCCGAGTTCTTCTTTAAGCCTGTCAACCACCTCATCACAACATTTCTTTGCATCTTTGTTATATTCACTCGCATACAACAAGTCTGACAAACGTCTCATAATTAGCGCCTTCCACAGCAATGGCCCATCAACAGCTTTTCCATTCCTATCATTATCTATGCTTGACCTTGCACCACAACCCTTTGTCCATCTCATACATATTTAATCTTTATGATACTCACAAACAGAGGTCACATGAAAGATTCGAAGAAACTTGTATATCCATAGGCTTTCTACTGCTTATCCACTCATCATTTACTGATTATCCAAAATTTTTTACTGTCTATCCATCAGTAACCCTTTTAACCCCTGCAATACTTTTCTAATGCTTATAGAAAGACTTTCTACTGCCTAACTATAAGTAATCATGAAGAAAAACATGCATGACAACTAACACATACCACACAACAAAAAATACGAGACACTCTTAATGATAGTAATGATGAAAATAATAATAATAATCTTAACAAAATCTGGCTTGTTCCTTAAGTGACCAATTCGCTTCCTTGAATTTTTACCGATGTGCCATACACACAGACGATACCAAGAAGTTGGAAGACATGTCCGAATACTCGTAGTAATGGAAGGTGCTTGATCCGTCATGATAGTTTGTGGCTGCTTACCTCTCATTGATTTTAAAAACTGGTTGAACAACCAATCAAAGGAAGGTTCTTTTTCATTTAACACAAAACCACAACAAAATATGAAATTCTTATCCATACCGACGAAAGGAGCACAAATCATTCCACATATGTTTGTTCGATACGTCATATCAAACACAAGAAGGTCGCCAAAAAAGTCATAATCCTTCCGCATTCTGCCATCCCTCCATAAGAAAGTACAGAGCCTACTCTGCATCAGCTGGTTACAGTCGTTACCTTTGAATGCAACATCATCACGGGAATAATTGTATAAGTCTCTCAATGTATACTCCAAGTTCGGACTTCCCTCGTGTAATTTTTCCAAAAACTTAAACGCATCAACAAAAGGGATGCCGCTCTTTCTCATGTCACTGATTATCTTCATGTCATTAGCATCTACTACACATTGAGATCGAAGACGACCAATCTGATGATCTAGCACAAGATCATGATTGTGATCAACCAAATGCTTTGTACATGTCCACAACCCATCTCTATCGACACTAAAGTGGATATGCGCTGGACACCCTCACCGAAAATCAATCCTCACATGGGACCCACCACCATTTCCACCGTATCTTTTAAATCCTTATCGGTTACAACAGAAGATCTTCATCCTAACTTCATCAATCTTACCTCTAAATTTTGTTTCTCTATTCTCACACTAAAACTAATCAATCGTGCATGATCATTATACGAGCCATAAGCTTTTTTCTCACTTCTCGCAGTCTCGCCAACTAAAGTATAAGTAGACAAATCCTTACTCTTCGTGACAGATGAACTTCCTTGTGCAAGGCATCCTCCTTCACCATCACATTATCAACTGCCAATTCATTACCGTTGTTATCTTCTCCACAACCAGAGAAAAAAAAAGTTGGATACCTAGAACAAACAACTTCGAGAGACACATACGTAGTACATACAAGTTGGATAACCACTACAAACAACTTGGGCAATTCATTTCATAAAAAAAGCAAAGGAAAAGAAAATGTGGGATAACCATCTCCAAGAAGTCGGATAACCACTACGAACACATTGGACAAACATTTTTTTAACAAAAAAGATGGTTGGATAACCAGTATAAAGAAAATGGATAATCAGTCCAGTTCAAGCTGATTGGATAATCAGTACTGAAAAATGGATAGCAGGTAGGAACATATTGGACAACCATTTTCTAAGAAAAGAACTGATTGGATAACCAGTACAAAGAAATGGACAATCAGTTCAAGCCGGTTAAATAATCAGTATGAACACGATGGATAAGCGTTTCGGAAAAAAAAATTATTTTACTTATGATTATCAAATTTAAATGCATTTAACGTTCGAAAAAAATATTTGATATGGATCTTATTGGATAGATCTCGACGAGTATAAAAGAAGTTCGAAAACCTACCCTTCCGAGCAGATGTAACTTCCATGCACAAAGCATCGTCCACCATCACATCATCCCCTAACACTCATTGCTCCGATTATCTTTTCCAGAAACTTAGAAAACAAAAAAAATGTTAGAAACACCAATCCAATAAAAACAACTCAAAATGTTGGAAATCCAGTACAAACAAGTTGGAATACCAGTACAGACAATTTGGATAAGTATATAAATCCGTTGGATAACTAGTACACATAAGTTAGACAAACATACAAACCAAATGGATATCCAGTACAAACAAGTTGGATATGTATATAAAACCGTGGATAACCACTATGAAGTGATTGAAGAGGCATACAAACCAAATGGATATCCAGTACAAACAAGTTGGATAACCATTACAAATAATTTGGATATGCATCCAAATTGCTTGGATAAGCAGCACAAAACGAGTTAGAAAACCAGTAAAACAAAAAAATGTTGCATAATCGGTACTTTACATCGTCAATCCATGTTTACCACAATCAACAAAAAGCATATCCACATAAAATATAAAGGATATCCAACATAACATAACTGCTTATCCACTTCATAGAACATTAACAAAAACTATAAAAAAAATCAAAAAAAGAAAATGAAACAAATAGATTGATTCTTCTCTCACAAACAGTACACTCTGACAACTACACGAACCTGATTGCAGCGGATCAACAACAGAGATGTGACCTTGCGTTGATTTGCTGCCACTACAAGATCGTTTGATGGATTTGCTACCACTACATTCCGCATTCATCCAGCCGGAATACCTAACGAGATGACTCATTGGTCCATTACAACTGAGCATCTCATCGATCCGGTCATCGTTTCGCCACTCTGATGGAATCAGAGCCTTTCCTCTTTCGCTGCCGACTGTCGCCGCCTCAATGCCTCGATCTCCGCTGGCCATCGCCACCTCAACGCCTCGATCGCTACCTCCTGTTGCCGCCTCAATGCCTCGATCACCGCTGGCCGTCGTCAAACAAAAAATTAGTCCATCTAAAAGCTTTCGAAATTTGAATGAAGAAAGGAATCGATTTGGCAATTTATATAAGGCGCGTTTTAAAAAAAAATATAAAGGTGAATTGTCACTCGATTCTCAACGAGTTAAGCACAGGCACAGAGGGGGTACACGATGCCCCCGTCTATGCTGGTTAATTACCTCTATGAGATATAAACATGGCCAATTATCTAAATTGAATAAAGTTAAATAATCATAATAAATAATAATTTAAGAAGATAAACAAATCATTATATTTCATTCAGATATATAAACAAATAATCTTTCATAATATAAGACTTCATTAGGTCTTTGACAAGAATTGAATCTTAGGAAAAAGAAAAAATAAAGTAAAAATTCGCTCGAGGGAAAATGAAGTTATGATAGGACTCAGAAGAAAAAGGAAACAAGACAACATTTACAGCGTAAATTCGATTAAGTAATAATTTATAAATAATAATCTTCTCACATATCAATAAAAATTATGACATAATAATGTTTCGAAAATCTCTTATATAGCGGCTATATATTGGTGTTGACAGTACTATAATTACTAATTAACTTAAATCAAATAGTAATAATAATAACTATAGATTTAGAAAAGTATGAACTATTATACAATAGAATGTCGGTAAATTAATAATATATAGATTAATAATTTCTAGTAATTAATAATTTTCTCCATACCCAACTTGGGACAAGTACAAAAAGTGAAAAAAAATCAATAGAATGATAAGATAATAATGTTTCAAAAAATCTCTTATAAATTTATTGGACCCGAGAATAACATGAATAAAAAAATAATAATAAAAAATACTATACATATTTAGTAAAGTATGAATTATTAATAGTAAACTATGAATTATTAATACTTATTTTTAGTCCCTGAATATGATATAAACTATATATGAATTTTTGATATTTAGAAGTATTTTAATACTTGATTGATTTGAATTTAAAAAATTTTACAAATTAATTAATTTAGTGAAAGTTTTTTTTCCTCATAGAACTTCTTTAAATTAATAATTATCTATTTACTAATTATTTAATAATTCTCTAAATTAATAAATTTTAGTGGTTCAAACGCAATTAATTTATAGAAGTTTTACTGTACTTATTTCTTTTCAGTGCCTAAGAATATGATTGAATGAGGTATGAATTCAGATTGCGAACATAATTAATTATTACGCAATTTAATAAGGTTTTTTTTTCTTAAAGAAACACTATAAATTAATAATGTCAATTATTTTGTAATTTTTAAATTAATAAATTTTTGTGGTCTCAATATTATTAATTTAAAAAAGTTCTACTGTATATGGTCTATTAAGTAGGTTAGCCACTCGAAGCTTCAAATGAATGTGCAAATTTTTAATTTAAAATGAATATGCAAATTTTTAATTTAGTCTTGCCCAAACGGGGGGTAATGTCCTGCTGCTGGATTTTTCTGCTCAGTACTTCCTTCCAAACAGCCAATTCATGTGGGTACGCGGGAAGAAGGTACCTTTGCTCTTTCTCCCATAAATTGGAATATTTGTCTTTTTCCTCAAATCATCTCAATTATTAATCACCTATGATTTGAAACCTATGAAACTCACTTAGTGTTCGGTTGCTTGGCGTTAGAATTGTATTGGTATTAGAATATTTTGGGATTACATTGGCATTCAAGATATTCTAATTCAATGCCAATTTCTGTGTTCGGCAAAATAATGGAATTGACTACAAATTCAATTGGGATTCCAAATTCTCTGTTCAGATGGTCAAGTAATTGGGTTGGTTTTGGCTTTTGCTTATTTTATTTATTTATTTATTTTTAAAAAATAAATTCATTTAGTTTGAAAGTATTTCAACTCTTATAATTTATATTTTGTTAAAATGTCATTATAGTATTATTTAACATACATCTATAATTTCAATAAAAACAATAACCTAGCGTGCAAAATGATGTGAGAAGTAGTCCAATAGTAGGCAACAACACTTGACTAGTTGATTTCTTTGCACCATGTAAGTTGATCATTGTAGTCAAAAAATGCAAAAACTAGCCTATACACTTGACTAGTTTGTATCGAGCCCAGCTTTACTGTCTCCCACCTCTGGTTCTCCAACTCAAGGTTAAAGTCTTCAATAGATAAGGAATCGTCAGCATGTCTTTAGGCTAGCGAAGTCGTGGCAGATCTGTTATAGGAATCAAGCAAGAGATGAGACCAAGAGAATCGGCAGAAACTAATGCATCCTTCAGACCTAGGCTATAAAACAACAAAACCAACTCTGCTTCACACTGTGAACCATCAATTTAAACACCAATAACACCCACCCTAATACATGCAAAATGTCCAAGGTTTATTGAAATCAAATTCCCGAAGAGTCACTTTTATCAATCAAGTCAATCGTCAATCCAATCTATTATCAATCATAATAAGATCAAATACTTCGATTACCCAAACAACCCCCACATATTTTCATGCCCGAAATTGAGAGAATCCACCAAAGGGTAAAACCCTGAAGTAATTGAGAAGCACCGCATATGAACTTCTTACGATCACCAAAATAAAGGTTTAGGGGAAGGAATAACATAATCAAGATGACTGGAGAAGATGCTAACTTGAGCCTGGAGTGTCGCTTACAGCGCTCTTCTTTAGCGAGAAATTCTTGCTTCAATTTGCCTTGATCAACGGAGATCTTAGTGGCCATAACCTTACAATTGTTTCTAAGACCCAATTGAGATAACTTTTCAGTGCCATCGACGTCTTTCAAAACCTTGCTGGAGGATGTCAAGTTGATCATCTGTGGACCATCAGAGTAGCCGGATTGTTTAGCAACTTCTTCTCTCAACATGGGCACCTTCCATTCTTCCAAGTTTAATTCCAAGACCCCATTCCACGCCCCTTCTACCCTCAATTTCTCTAAAAACATACAGTTGTTTGGGGTATGAAACAGAGAAAGTGTACAGATAGAACTTTTGAGAGTGAGTCTCCATGAAGAAACCACAAAAGTGTCATTATATTTCAAAGGAACTAGTCGTGCAAAAACAATGACAATTTAATCTTATTTTTTTGACCAAGCAGTTAAAGGCAAATTTTAATAGCAGGATCAAAATGAGACACATCAGTAATGAATGACGACTTCAAATGGATAAAAAAGCATTTTGTAGAATCCATTAACCATGCCAGAATGCAAAACAAAATCTTCAATAAAGAATAGTCAAAGTTTAAACAGTAAAATATAGCTATGAGTACAAAAAATAAAGTACATGAAGCTATAGAAAATGCTCCCATAAAGTGTATACTCTCAATAATATCAAAAGAGTAATAGCAGAAATTCAGCAGCTATCATCTGGAAGTTAAAACCACACAAGATGAAGAGGAATGTACTATCGAATATAGAGCAAATGTTCTTCCAGTATGTCTTAAAGGTTACCTTCAGCTTCAGATATTGAAATTAGAATGCCACTTTCAACGCACTTTAACCAGATATCATCCAATACGTCATATGCCATACGCCGAGATGTGCTCTTCCCTGAAAGAGCATCATCGGATGAAACATATTCTTTTATAATTCGGTGCTGACCAGGACTTGGCTAGAGGAAAAAGCATTGGTAAAAGAAGATAAAACTTTTTTACTGTTTGATTTTTGGTTTGCAGCTTCTGATTTTCAATATTATCTCTCAATGTACTGACAAGATCATCAGGTGAACAATGTTGCCGTAAACCATACTTTTGGAAGTAGATTGTTCAGATTCATGTGCATTGTAGAACCATGTTCCATTAACTTCCTGAGCCGTATTATGATACAGTAAATCCGGAACCTGTACCTCAAACTCAAAGTCTTCCAAGAGATTCTCAACCAGATTATCTGCACATTCAAATAAACGGCATTGATCAATTACTATTTTTCCACATATAAGGCAGCAAAGAACAAAATCTTCAAGTTATCTATACAACATATGATAATAATTGTGTACATTGTTCACATAAAAAAGTAAAACACAAAACCAAAAGGCTACCAGACTCTATTATGACTGAAACCTTCGTTCTAAATATTCTATCCCCAGAGAAATGTTACGCGTGCAAAATTTGATAACTAGAATTAAAGAAATACTTAACATGCTTTAAGACAAGCTACTAACAGAAGTTCTGCCATAAACAACACAAATTACACTCATTAAGCAAATAGAAGCACCACATAGTTACTAATTCTACACGGTCTGTGAGCTTATTTGGGCAGCATTTCTCTTTTTAAGATTTAGTTCTCACTTTCACAATTTCTCGCAAGACTACATTTTGACATTTCATTTCAATTTTCATTACAATATAAACACAGATACAAAAGCAAGAAGAAGTCTCAGTATAGAAAGTTGAAAAAATGATTCCTCAAGGGATTGCATTAGAAGGATTATCTCATCAAATAAGCAACAAATCAACACAAATACGCTGTAATTACATTAGAAGGAACAGATAAAATAGGAATGGAAGTAAAGAAAAAAGGACATAAACCTCAGAATAAAATGCTATTGTTCTAGGGTAAAAACGCTACAAGACTGTATTTTTGGACTGGGAAACAATAAAGTCCCTTATTGAAGTCCCTTTGCATGGCGGATTTGGAAGAGGAGTCACCGTCGGAGAAGAGAAGTCGGCAGACTATGTTGTTAAGAAACAAAACTGATTAAGGCTGCTGAGAAACAGACCCAGTTCGAATTTGACTCCAATAAACAAAACCCACAAAAATTTAGATAGATTCCTGCTAAAATAAGACCAATTTGATTGAAAATCTAAGCATCAGAAGAAAGTCTCAATGAATGATGGGAAGCTAACCCTAATCCATGCGAACGGAAGAAAGAGGGGAAATAAGAAAAAGCGGAGTCACCGCCTCCTTCGCCTTCGGCTTCGCCGTCGTCAATTGGTGGGAGTTCAGTGCAGAGTCGGAGATGAAGGGTCGATGTTGTGACAGAGTAAGGAGAAGCCGGTGAGATGAGAGAGAGAGAGAAAGATTAAAGATAAAAGCCATCAAAAAACGTGGGGAGGATCCGGAAAGTTTATAACCCGACTGTTTTTAATCTAACCCGGAAAAAACCCGCGCCCCTATTCAACTCCACGAGATCATGGAATCTCAAATAATAACTTGAAGCCCAGAATAGAAATCATGGCATTGGGAGCCTTTTGGCATTGGACCAATGCCAATTCCATCCCATATTTAGACAGCCGAATACTGGATTTGGCATTGGGGGCCCAAATTCTAATTCCAAATCCCCAATGCCATGCAAACGAACAGAACCTTAGTTAGTTTCAAAATCCAATGTGTTCGATACTGAAAAATTAAACTGATTAGTAACTAACTTAAATGAGTAAAACAAGAAAATAACTCAATAAGAGATTAAATAAAAATAGATAAAAGGAATCCTAAATAATTTAATGTTGAATAAAGTTATTATCTTGTATCAATCTTATAATTTTATTGAGAAATAAATTAATAATACAACCTTAAAAAAGTATACTCTTCAATCAGTGTTGCTAGAAATGGATTGAATACTGTGAAACGTGTGAATTTGAAAGTTTAAACATTCATGTTAATTCTTCCCACATATGAAAGTAAGTTGCAGTTGCTAGAAAATATTACCTCCGTCCCAAAAAAATAGTCAATGTTAATGAGTTTTAAAATTTGTACTAAAACAAAATACAAATTTAATATGAATTATTCTTTTGGGAAAGAGAGAGGGTGTAATATTATACATACTCCCTGAGTAGTCCTTTTAATTTTAAAAATTCATTTTGCCAAATTTAAAAAGGAGAACTTATATAAAGTAGGTAATGAAATGTAAAAGTGGTAAATGATAGCAAAGCAAAACTATCACAGAAGGGGGCTGATGAGAGTAAAAATATATACCCTTTTAGCAGGCATTTCTTACTCATTTCTACTTATAATTTAGTGCCAATTAGTTATGATTAGTTTACTTTTGAGATGATTTTGCTGTTCAGGTATCTGAGAGGGCCAATGTGTAAAAACAACATAAAAGAGGGCCAAATTGCACAAAAAGGTATATGAAAGGACTGGAATGGAAGCTGCTGGAAATTGGGCTGTTGGAAGGTCAGTCAGAGTTGGAGCAAGTAGATAAAACCTTGCTGAGGAAGGAAGAATGGCAGCAGATGATCACAACTTGGAAGATTCTGCAGCAGCATACTCAATTGAGAGGAAGAATGGCAGCTGCCCTGCTGCCAGATTGCTACTGTAGTAGCTGTTGCTGCTGTCAATTAAAGAGGAGAAACGATCTGAAATCTTGGTGCCCAAGGAAGGAAATTGCTTTGCTATCACTTCAAGTTACTGCTGTTGCAAGTGGAAGATGAGAAAGAGGGAGAATATGTGATAAACAGCAGCTGCAACTCTACTACTTACCAACGGATGCTGCTGCTAAGTTGATGGATTGACTGCTGTAGAAGGGTGAGCAATGGTATAGCAAGTGACCAAGCAAACAAGGAAGAAAAGGGCAGAAGATTCAGGCTAAATTGGAGGCTGGAGACACAATGATGGAAGGAAGCATCCTACTGATGGTGCTGCTTACTGACTGCTGCAAATTGAGGTGTGGGGAATAAAGAATGAAGAAATACAGGTCTGTGGCTACAAATGGTGAGAAGTCCTTGGGGAAGAAGACTAAGGAGAAGCAGAAATGATGAGTAGAAGGTGGCAGATGGCGGCTAAATAAGGAAGGAGTTAACCAGAGAAGGGCAAGTTGCTGAATAAACAATTGCCTTTGGCCGCTGCAACATCCTGTCTCCTCTGCCCTGCTGTAAAGAATGCCAGAACTCCACCAATCCTAGCTTCTCCAAATCTCTATAAACAGTCAGCCAATAGTAATTAGAAAAAAAACAGATTGGGTAGTTAGATTTAGTTACAAAGATAGTAGTTAGGTAGTTAGTTAGTAAGATAGAAATAGGGTAGTAGCAGGAACAAGGAGGTAGGCTGTCACTTTGTTAAGTGGCGGATACCACTCGCCATAGTGAGCAGACAAAAACTGTCCCTGCTACCATCTTCCCTTTCTTTCCTCTAACTATTTGATCTAGATTCATGTCTTATCTTTTGTACTTTGTTGCTCTCATGTTTAACTCGATAAGCCTGAGTGGCTAACTTAGTTAAGGGTTCAATCCCTACTATCTTTATGTGAAGGTTTTGATTCAGTTTTTCTTGATGAGGTGTTGGGCCTAGATAAGTGATTTAATTAACCTTTTAATTAACTTAGCCACTTAATTAAATGTGCTTGCATGGTTATGAAGATCTGGAAAGGAGAGCATAACATTAGAACGGCTTAATCTAGTCTACGACAATGGAAGAAATCTACCCTGCGCTTCCAGACATCAATGGAAGTTAGGTGAATGGCATAGGCGATCATAAAAGAATAAGAACTCAATGGGTTAGATTAATGAATTACTCTGACTGGAAGGTAGGTGATTTAGATAATCTAGAACTCTTTATTCTGTCTGGAAGGAATTATAAAGATATATATGTGACTGATCGAACAACTCATCATACACTACAGGAATACTTGAATCAAAACTGGATCATAAAGATAGAAAGGTGATTGACCCCTCTGCTACTCATTTGTTTTTCCCAAAAAAAAAAACTTTAAATTAGATTAATAAATAGTATATCCATCCCACCATATCTCGATTCAATTTAACCTCACAGTTCTACCACGAGCCTTGCCAACTGCTCCCTCTGTCCCAAAATTATTGTTTAGTTTAAGATTTCATTTTTAGTACAATTTGAATTAGAAATGAAAACTCAAACTGGACAATAATTATGGGACGGAGGGAGTACATAACTAATAAGCCGGTGAAAGATATGTGAAGAAACATGAAATAGCAAAGAAGATTTAGGGGCAAAAGACGGCTGGAAAATGTACTTCAGTTCGTCGTGGTTTTGTGTTTCTGTATTAGGGTTAATATACATAGAATTAGGGTTACAGTAGTAATTAGATTAAATTACAATATTTACTAATTAAACTAACCCTAATTTCCTTAATAATATGAAAACTCAAGAGATACATAGTCTTTGGAGAGGAGCTTCTATGGATCAACTTTTTTGTTCAAATAACAAAATAAAATAAAAAATGCTGTTCGCGATTGGTAAATAAATGGTTAGTTTTGGAAAATGTTAAATAGAGTTAATTGCTATACAATCTTAATAAAATCTTGTTATAAATCATAATTAACTAACTATATTTCTGCACATGGATGAATGAATTGGATGAAATGGGGTCCGTATAAAATATCTTGAACATTCATCGCCTTCATGCTTCACCGCTTCAGCCTCCTTACACTATATTGTTGATGAGAAATGAATTTTGCTTAATTTCTTTCTTCATATGGTGGATATACTAGTAGCTGCAAGACTATTTAACTGGAAAGAAATGTAGACATTTTTTTTCGTTTTTTTTTAATTGAATTTTATGGTAAATGCTTGAAAAGTGTAAAATGAATTACAATATTACAATATTACTACTAATGGTTGAATTTCTTACACTTTCATACAAATTTACTCAATCTCATTACAATGAACAAACACTGAATACGTTAAAAGATCTCCTTAATTTTCGCATGGTAATAGTATGAAGTGAGATTTTTTTTTCTTTTTATCTGTGACAACGTTTTTTATGAGTTAAAACAGAAAAAAAGTAATGATGGTAATTAACCAGTCAACAAAATTAGCATTATACGTTACAAAAAATGGCACGAATTTAACAGTACTGGACAACAGCAAATGAAAGTGATTGCTAGAATATGAGGGATAAGATAGTAATTACGTAATTACTACTTAATTAAGATGATATTAGATTGCTCGGTATTAATCCTTCACAGGCTAATTTACATATCAAAACTACGATATATTTACAGTAGATTTTTCTCTCTTGATATAATTTTCTGCCAAGTCGAATGATCCCCTCTCCATTTCTACTTTGCCAGCTCCAGAAGAACCATATTTCTTTCTCAAAATAATTTAACAAAACTAGGAAGAGATGTGCGATTCGCCAAAGTTGACAAGGGTTTCAAGCGAAATGGATGAAGACCTTCAGCGCCCAGGTTTTATGAAAATAATCAGGGGTGGTTTCAATTTCGAGAAAGTGGTAATTAAACTTTCACTTTATTCTCCTCTCTTTTATTGAAAATTTTATGCTTCACTAATTTTTATACTATTACATTTCTCTTATGGGTTGCTCTCTGTCCTCTTTTGTCTTTTCCATCTGGAACTTTAATTTTTTTTGCATCGGTAATTTGGCGTGACGAATTCCGAATTCAACTTGTTGTTCTTCCAGATATATTTATTGTTGAATTTGTGTTAATTAGATGAACAAATAAGCACATGTAATTTTTTGTTTTTGTTTCGTCTTGTGTATGTTTTTGATTTTGCTTGCTAATTAGATGAAGATATCAGCATTAGATTTTGTTTTTTTTTTGGGTTTCAACTTCATCGGATTGTTTTATTTTCAATGTAATTCTATATTGACTACCAAAAATGAAAAAATAAAATAGAAAAGCAAATTCTTGTGGTTGATAAACAGAAATTCGAGAAATGGATTGCATATTGAGGATTATATGATGAATTGACGATTGATGACCAAACTTAGCTTCGATTTCGAGGGAGAAGTTTTCCAATTGAAATTGTTGTTTTCGAAGGAGAAGAAGTAATTGGTAAACATTTCCAGTACATTATTTATTGAGTTAAAATCTGGTAGGATTGTGAATGAAATGGTAGTAATAAAGTGTATACAAATTAAAAGGCAAAGAGCAGAAAATGTTTGTTGTACATCCCAATGTAGTATTGGTGTGGGAGAATCGTTGACACCACCCAAAAATAAAAATTAACCGACTCAAAACTATTAAATAGCTGTAAGCAGGGTCGATTCATAGGGATGACAGTAAATCAATCAAAACTGGTCGATGTGTAAACAGAAAAAGTAAATAGAACAGATTTTCACTTGGAAAAGTGAGACAGTCACTTAACAGAGTGTTGAAGAAACTATGGTCATCCTCCTTCCTATCTATATATTCATGTATTGATTCACTTAGTTCCTTTTGCACATATGAACATTGTCTGATAAGGCACATATTTTCTTTACCTTCATTCTCGATACCAGTAATGAGTCCCAGTTTAACCAAATTACCTCCATCTTTGTGATAATTATTCATTACTCCTAGCCATTGATTACTTAAGACCTATTGATAACCTATGCAATCAACTAACTCTCATTGGTGACCGAAAATAATGGTGAATATTCCACCGTTATAGACTAACTTAGGCAGTTCTAAAACTATGTTCACTCTCTCAAGATTTCATAATTAATAATGCACAATTAGTTAAGTGATTAGTTTAACTAAAGGCTTAATTAAAGCACTCAAACTAGATAAAATACTTCATATAAGAACTTGAATCAAACACTCACATAGAGATAGTTGGGATTAAACCCCAAAATGAGTTTAACCACTCATGTTTATTGATCTAAACATGAGGACAACAAAAGACACAAGGTTTAGCATCATTCAGTACAAAAGATAGAAGATAAAATGGGGTAAAGAGTGCAACTGAGCAGATTTTGTCAACTCACTTGGGGAGTGAACTTCGTCACTTGCCTGAGTTACTGTCTGCACTCTCTCTTCTGCTACCCCATGTTTCTGTCCTAGTGACTAACTAACTAACTACTCTGATTTTGGATCTGTTCTAACTTCCCAGTATGTTCTAACTTCCCAATCCGTTCTTCTTCTAACAGTTATTGGTTGTCTATTTATAGAGTTTTGGATAGGGCTTGGATGGTTGGTTCTTCTAGTTTTCTTCTTTGCAGCAGAGAGTACAGGTGGCCACTTTCAGTAGCTGGAAGTTTGTTTATTCAGCAACTTGCCAAGTTACCTCCATCTAATTGGCTCTCTTTTCTTCCTCAGTCGTCATCAACCATCTTTTTCTCATCATTGCTTTCCCCTTTAATCTTCTGCTCTGGCTCCTGTTCACTGTTATCAGCCAAAAATCTCTATTTCTTCTCTCTTTAATCTTCAGCACTAGCAGCAGAGATAGTAAACATCAGCATCCGCAGCTTGCTTCTATTTAATCATCATGTGCCTTCATGTTTAGGTTCCAATTTAGCCTCCAATCTTTTGTTCTTCTCTTCCTTGTTCCCTGGAAACATTTGCATCACCATTTCTCTCCTCCAGTGGGAGCCATTCCATCAATTAACCATAAATAGCAACAAAATTGGTAAGTAGCAGAGAAGTTGTTACTCTAATCTTGATATTCTTCCTCTTTCTCTTCTTCCACTTACAACAACAACAACTTGCATGGTGTAGCAATCCTTTTCTTCAGCAGCAAGATTTCAACCTCTCTTTTCTCCTCTGATTGACAAAATCAACAACAGCTATAGCAGTAGCTTGGCAGCATATTAGCTTTCAACTCTCCCATTTTCCTTTTCTTCCTTTGTTTGCCACTTGCAGAGATCATCAGCTGAGATGATGATACAACTAATTATTCCTTCCTAAGCAAGGAATCAGCTCTGCTTCTTCTTCAATTGACCACTTCCAGCCTTGATTTCCAGCAGCTTTAATTCCAGTCCATTTTTATGCTCTTTTTAACCTTTTGGCCTCAAATTTGTATCAATTTTCACTTTGGCCTTCTAATCACCCTGAAATGAAAAATTAACCCAAAAGTAAACTAATTCTACCTAATTGGCACTAAATTATTAGTAAAAATGAATAAGAATTATTTGTTAAAAGTAGCTAAATTCAAGTGTTACCAAGTATGTCTAGACTGATTAATGAATTGCCTTTATTTTATTTATAATGCACAAAATCGTGCGTTTTAAATTGGAGGGAATAAAAATACATTTTATTTAGTTTCTCTTTCAATCAAACTATATTTTCTTTAACAACTCTGTTTTTGGATTTGATACCAAAGAAACTCCCGCCAACGTTTTGGAAGAGCAAGAGCAAGACACTTTCGTCCGACGGTATCATCATCTTGAAAGGACATTTTGGTGGTTCCTGGCCAGTTCAACTATCTCGATCAAGCTGCGGGATATTTCTCGCCGAAGGGTGGAAGAAGTTTTATGACGATCACGGCTTAGTGCAATACGATTTGATTTTGTTCAAGAGTGCCGGAGATTCGACGCTCGATGTGCAAATCTTCGGCGAGAATGGGATTGAGAAGACAAAGAAACCTCTTCGTGTTGAAGAAGATCCGGTTGTGAAGAGGAAGAGGGGTAGACCGCGTAAAAATAAAGATGCTACTAATCCCCCACAACAACCTGTTTCAGGTAATGTCTATTATAATATATATAGTGATTTATGATATTGTGGGTATTGGTTGAGATTCATTGTCTAAATATTTTTGGCGGCAGATCGCATTTTGTAATTTTAATTGGTTGATATGAATGAAATTATTTAACGCAACATACAAGATGATAATAATGTTGTTGTATTTGAGCTATAGGACTTGAAAACCCTCAAGCTGAAGTACCTGCTGTGAAGAAGAAAAGAGGTAGGTATTTAGGAACAAAAATACTACTAATCCTACTTTTGTTATCGACTTTAGTACTTATTTCTCAGCATATCCTGCATCACGTGTTGAAGGTAATTTATAACTATAGTATCTATTTGAGCTTGCAATTATTGTTGAGATTCATATACGAAGAATGTTGGTGTCAATTATCCGTGCCAACCCATAATTGTGCTATATGAGTATTTGTCATTTTCATAATAACTTGTTATAAATTAAAGCAAGTAATGCAATGAAAAAGATGATAATGACATGGCTATAATCTTGAGTTAGGACTTGAAAACCATCAAGCACAAGTTCATGCTGTGCATGAGGAAGAAGGTAAACCATTTGAAAATGAAAACACTTCTAGCCCTACTTCTATTGTCGATGGCAACAATAATTGCTCAGCAGATCCTGCACTACCTGTTGTAGTTAATTTCTAGCTAAAATGTTTGTTTCATCTCGTGATTATTGTTGAGATTCATATATGAACAATACTTGCATAACCTATTGTTATTGTCTCATGGTCAAATTATATACGTAGTTGTCATTTCAATAAGTAGTTATAATTGAACTCAATTTAAGCAACAAACAAGGTGAACTGATGTTGTTTTCCTTGAGTTAGGACTTAAAAACCCTCAAGCACAAGTTCCTGCAAAGAAGGAAAAGAAAGGTACACCTTTTGAAAACAAAGACACTTCTGATCCTAATTCTATTGCCAACAACAACATCAATTCCTCAGCAGATCTTGCACGAACGCTTGCAGGTAATTTCTAATGATAATATATGTTTGTGCTTTCTACTATTGTTGAGAATCAATCTATTGTTTCTGTTTCATAGTCTTTTGTAATATACTTATTTCTCATTTAAATAAGTTGTGATAAATTAAATTAATCAATGTAACGAATAAGATGAGAATGATATTGTCGTCCTTGAGTTGGACATCAAAATCCTCAATACACAATTTCTTGTTCTGAATGAGAAGAAAGGTAGACCCTTTAAAAAAAAAAAGACACTTCTAATTCTATTTTGATAGTCGATCGTAGCAGTAATTTCTTAGCAGATCCTGCACCATCGGTTGCATGTAATTTCTAACTATATTATTTGTTTGTGCATGCAAATAATGTTGAGATTCATAAATGAAAAGTTATCAACTATTTTAATCGTCTCATAATCATGCTATATCGTATTTGTCGTTTCAATAAGTTGTTACAAATAAAATTAATCAATGCAACAAATAAGATGATAATGATGTTGTTGTTTGAGTTAGGACTTGAAAACCCTCGAGCAAAAATTCTTATTGTGAAGAAGAAGAGAGGTGGACCCTTGAATATCAAAGATGTGTCTTATCCTACTTCTATTTTCGATGCGAATGCTGTTTTGGGAAAAAAAACTTCAAGCACAAGTTCCTGTTTTGAAAAAAAAAAACAAAACAAACAAAGCTAGACCCTTTAATTACAAAAACACTTCTAATCCTATTTTTAGTGTCGATAGCAACAAGTACTAATTTCTCAGCAGATCCTACACCACTGGTTGCAAATAATTTCTAACTATAATATCCATTTGTGCTTGCGATTATTGTTGAGATTCATGTACGAACAACGTTAGTATCAAATACTGCTACCCTCTCATAGACGTGTTATATACATATTTGTCATTTCAATAAGTTATTACAAATAAAATTAACCAATGCAACAAATAAGATGATAATGATGTTGTTTTCCTTGAGTTAGGACTTGAAAACCCTCAAGTAAAAGTTCCTGTTGTGATGAAGAAGAGAGGCAGACCCTTTAAAAACAAAGGCGTTTCTAATCCTACTTCTATTGTCGATGCCAATACTAATTCTTCAACAGATCTTGCACCACATGTTGCAAGTAATTTCTGCTTGAAAATGTGGAGATTCATTTTACAAATATATCTGGTGTCCACCACTGTTATCATATTATAGTCGTGTTATATATATGTAGACAATTTTAAATGTTACTTAATGTAATTAACTAATCAAACAAATTGTTACCCTTAACCAGAACTTGCAAACTCTCAAGCTACGGTTCATGTTGTGAAGAAGAAGAGAGGTGTATGCTTTAAAAACGAAGATACTGCTAATCTTATTTCCAATGTTCATCGCGATGCGAATTTTTTAGAAGATTCTGCACCACCTCTTGCAGGTAATTTCTTACTGTAGAAGTGATAAGTGCTTGTGATTATTGTTGACATTTATTATATCGGTTGCGATATCAATTAACGCTACTTTGCCATAATTATAATAAATTCCTTACAAGCGCTGATCAATGAAAGAAGCAATGAGAAAAATAAAAAAAAAAATGATGCTTTTTGTCAAAAATTATATTCTTGATCAAGTTATCTTCTCCTGCTAATCAAGTTAATTTCTTTTCTTTTTCTTTAGGGTGATAGAATCAGCTATATTCATTGTGGACGCCGTGCATCTTTTTGAAATCAACACTCATTAGTTTTTTTTTTTTTTTTTTTAAAGACAGTACCTGTCATATTATAATATTAGTTTATAAACTTACATTGCATTAAGTAGGTTAATTGTTCATATGTTGCACCCCTTTCAACTAACTTTAACAAAGATACAAGATTTAAAGGGCATTAGTTGCGTAGAAAGTTGGGAGATAGCAGGCAGTTCCACACTTACACTCATTTAGTAGGTAGTTTCAGATTACTGGAACCCAAGGTCTCACAACCATTTTTGAACATAGTATAAGTATTGAATCTGAAAAAAGAATGGTGTAAGTATTGAATATAAAGAGAGTTCAAATTAATGTGACTTTCTTTGATCTTTATGTACAAATGCCCCCACCGAACTAATTAATATCGGATTTGACTCCTAATCAAAGAGATCCATAAAAACTTTATCGCAATAGATGATTCTCTAACAATATCTGAGATTAATAAGTACTTTTTGAGTTAAGGGATCTTCTTATTTATCGATCTCTAGCAAACATATCACTTAACCTAACCAAAACGAAGTTAAAGATGTACTTTCCATTTACTTTTGGCTATGTCTTTGTGAATTTAAATATTTGTTTTTCAACTGTTATTAATTTGTAAATATTTTTGTAAATTTCTCTATTCTTTTTTCAGAAAGAGGCCTTAGTAATAATCAACAGGCCATGGCTACCCCTTCAAATACTGATGCCATGCTCTCCCTCAGGTATGAGGTATGCCCTTTATATATTGTCATGAGGTGCATTTCAAAAACGTTCTTGTTTTCAATGTGTTATGGATTTCTTTTATGTGTGAACGAAACAGGAAAGGAAAAATTTTGTCTCAATATGGTGAATCGTTAAGGAGTCGAAACAGGTAGCTGCATTGGATCCAATCTAAAGAAGAGATTGGGAGAACCAAGAAAAAATGTTGATCCAATCTGCATGTTGTCACCTTCTATGCTCGTCGAAAACAAATTAATCAAAAAGTATTTGTATTATTGTTGTTATTTGCAGTTTTCTTCTTATTTGATACTTGATGTTGTCTTCGTACTGTATTCTTATAGATAGCAACGCATGACAAAATTTTTCAAACCAAATGTTTGATTTTTTTATTTTTAGTTTTTTTGCTTTTTTTCCTTCACGATCATTTAAAAAAAAAAATTTAATCATTTTATCTTTCTTTTGGTTTCCTCTTGACAAGATCTGAAGTCTAACCGAAAGTTGTACCTACTAACGTGCTTGAAACATATTTTTCCTAATTAACTCATCAGAGTACTATATATATATATATATATATATATATATATATATATATATATATATAATTCTAATTGCGCACAGATTTTTCTAATTTAATCAGATGAAGCATACGCATCATTAGTGTGACCTCTTTTTTATCGTTAGTACTTCTGTAGCACATATCTTATATATCCACTAAATTCTTTTCTGAACTTTATTGTTTTCGCAAATTAATTGATGCTAATTTTTAGTTTAGATAAATCATTAACAAATACTGTAAAAATATGTATCTGTCGTATGTTCAAAATTTGAACATTCATCATTGGAGTATCTGTTGAATTATTATCAATGTAAGTTTTTTATGGCCAAAATTAAAATTTAAAAATAGAGCGGAAAACTACATCAGAAGAGCTAATTAAATCTTGTAAGCTACTCCTACATTACTTTCTTGCAATTTATTTTTTTAGCAATTAATTTGAGAAAGATTCTTGATGGCAATTTGACAACGTATTTTCAGGTAAAAAAAAAAAAAGAGGGAACCAAGGTTTCTGTACTCCTAATGTACAAGATTTTCTGTTAATAAAGTTGCCGCAGCATGGAGTTAAAACTTACAAACCGAGTAAATTCAAGCCGCCTTAGTTTAAAAACACAAAAAAACAAAAAAAAGAATAGACACTCTATTCTCTTGTTCTTTAATTAGGGCAAAAACCAATATTTGTACATAACGTGCTGAGAATGACGAGACTTGACTAATACTAAATCATTTTAGGTTTTACTTTCAGGCATATCACTTATATGTCTCTGGTTCTTCATATAATGCATTTTGATTTGTCTAAAATTTTTTCTAATACACATTTTTAATTGACCAAAAAATCTTTAAAATATTTTTCATAACAATCAAGAAAACATAACGAATACGAAAACATATTTTTTAGGGTTTTTTGCCAATTCAAAATGCGTGCTATTTGAAATTTAGGATGAATCAAAATTCTTATATTAAAAACCAAAAGGTAATACTATTTCGTTGTCGTCACCATATAATCCAGATTTTGCAATATAAAGTAAATCTAATTTCAGGACATGAAGCTTTACCAAGTAAAATAATTATTTTAAGCATCTGCATTGCTTACATTTCGAAAGAGTAAAGCTTTATTATTAGAAACTTTGTGATACGTGTATTATCGTCACGAGTGCAGTCTATTAATTGGGAAGCTTGGCGATTAAGATTACAGAAGATGGTCGAACTTGAGAGCTCGGAGCAGAGATGTCTGGATTTTTAATTTCTTTCTTTTGGGTACAATGGAAGAAATCATCACATTATGGTAATAAACAACTTCAATGATATCGTGGTCTGACCACTTGGTAATACTTATTGGAGAAACTTGCATTATTGCTAGAGTATACATAATGAACAGTAAAAGTTTCATGTAAGTTAATTAATTTATCCAGTTGCGAAATTGGCGTTCCCAACATTAGCAAGACAAGTGTATTCAGTTAATTTAGTGCAGCGAAAGCTGCAAACATGAGCCTATCAGTTAGAACGTTTTCCATGGACCCGGATCCACCCCTAAAGTGGTGGAACTCCTTTTAAAATTTGACATGTGTTATAATTTTGGGACAATATTGGTGATCTATAAGAAAGCGTGTCAGTATTTGTGGTCTATTTATAATTTTCCTAGATTACGTGGAAGTTTTTATTAATTTCAAAATCAAATTTTAAAAAAACACCCAAAACATGTTATATATGTAATTTATAGTACTCATCAAAATCTATCTAATAACATCCATTTAATTTTTTTTTTTGAATTTTACTATTAAGATTTAATAGTTTGGAATTTTTTTATAGATCTACCTTATAAATTTGATGTTCCTCTTTTGAACTATATTGTGGGAATTTTAAAAAATTATCACAGGTATTGTTGAAACAATATTATCGAAATATCAATATGTTATCATAGGAATATCAATCACTTAACACGAGAGAATTTCAAAGCTACGTGTCAAGTACATAAAAAAAAAATCTGGTTTGTTTTGAAGTTCCAATGTTCTAGCAATATACTTTGAAAGTCACTGTTTTTTTTTTTTTTAAGTTTCCGTGGTTATATTTTGAAGTTCATGTCGTTATTTTTTGAAATTTTGTGGTTATTTTTTATATCACTAATTAAAATGTTATTTTTAATTCAGTTTTCGCCTGCAATTAGACCATAACTATCAAGCTGGTATTTAAACCCTAAACACCAATGACAAAAAAATCTGTTTTGAATTTAAGCATTTCTTAAAGTTTTTGCGGTTATTTTTTTAAGTTTTTGTGGTTATATTTTGAAGTCTCTGCGGTTTTTTCAAAGTTCCTATGGTTAGTTTTTGAAGTCACAGCGATTATTTTTGAAATTTCTGTGGTTATTTTTTAAAATTCCTGTGGTTTTATTTTAAAGTTCATGTGGCTATATATTGATGTACCTGTGATTATTTTTTGAAGTTCCTGCGCTTATTTTTTTTTATCACTAATCAAAATATTTAAACCTCCCTAAACCATAAATCATAAACGCCGTGTGGGAGAAAATATTGTTTGAGTTTATGTATTTTAAATCCTAAACACAAATATATTTTAATATTCCAGCAGCATAGTTACAAAGTTTCTATTACAATATTTTGATGTTCCAGCAAAATCGTTTCAAAGTTCATCTGATAATTTTTTGAATTTTCAGAAATATGGTTACAAAGTAGACACATTAAAAAATTAAGACTATAAAATCATAATTATAAAATTTCAAAAACATATCTAATATGGAGTTCGTTGGATAGATCTCGTCAAATATTATAAATTACATATATAACATAATTCATAATTATTTATGGATCAAGAGATAAAATCATTTTTGAATTTTAGGATGTTTTAAAGAAAATTGTTTTTAGAATAATAAAAAGCACCACGTCATTAACTAAAATTATAAAAAAAAATTCCAAAAACCAGATAAAAAATTGAGTGAATCCCCATGTGGTTCCCCAAGTTGGACAATTGTCCAACTTTGAAGAGGGGGTTCACCACTCCTTCCATGGAACCGGGTCCATGAAAGAATTTTCTAGCGAATCACGTTTAAGAAATAATCGCTTCTCTGAGGGTCAAAGACGACACGCTTGTAACCCCTTTTTGTTTGATCTTATTATATACTTCTTTCATCTTATAAAATTATAATTCATAAGAAAAATTATAAATTGCACTAAATTTTCTATATTTTTATTATAATTTAAGATTTGAATTATTCTTGTGAACCAAGGGATTCACAACACGAGCCATATATGGAGTTGTATTTCAAAACTTTCGTCTGCCTAAGTCCTTGGATAGATGTGATTCATACAGACATGACCCTTAAGTGGTGAAAATTTTTATTCGTCTTTTTCTGGAATCAAAGGATCGATCCATTATTTTAAGATGTAAGCTTCATGTTACAATATATTTAAATTTTGCCACAATATCGTCAGCTTAGGAGTTTTCTCGTTATCTTACTTGGTGATATTCTCAAAATGTTGCTTAACGTACCAAACGCTGTAAAAGAACTAATTAGAAGAATAACGACCATATAGTATGAGGTCTACATGCGAAGTTAACCCGATTGACAATATAACTTCCAATATAACGTGAACAGTAAATTATACACACGTACACACACACACATATATATATACGGTCCAATAAAAAGAAATACAAAAAAAAAAACACTAAAAAAACTAAAAACTTCGAGGGACGCATATATATATATGTATATATATCACATGTACTTGGATCTCTTATTGACCGTAACATTCGGACAAAATATAAAATCTCATGAATCACTTCAGAGGAAAGGACAGATTACCCCATCTCTTCGAATGCTTCACAAGCTAACATCCTAACAAGGACATTCTAAGATGGTTTGCCGTTTTAGATTAATTTATGTAACAATGAGGATAAAGGGAAAGAAAAATAATCAAACTAGAAGAGCCTGTGCAATTCAATAACAGTGTTTTACAAATTGAATAACGTTCTTCCCGATTTGAGAGCTTACCTAGCTAGGATGGAAATTCCCTTTGTCAAAGGGAGAAACGATAATCTTTAACCACAAGACGACCGTTATTTTAATGAAGGTAAAGCCAAGTGAAACAAAAAGGAAAAGAAATTAAAAAAGCGAGAAATCGGCAAATTGGTTGTACTAGAAAAAAGAATTATCATACTTGTTGTACTAAAAAGAAGAACAAGATGAATTTGTTGTACATCTGTTAGGCTTGATGACCTGAAAGGCCGAAACAAGCCGAAAATTGAAAAGAAAAAAGTGACGAAGTAAACTTCACCTTAATTTGTGCTAAATTAATTAATCTAACAAATAAAATTCTCTTCTACTTAAATGAAATTCACACATATTATTTCTCATATTTACAAAAGCAAAGGACACCCTGAAAATTGAAGAAAAAAGTAAACAACAATTTCTTAGACAATGCATGAACACTATCAATCTTCAATAATATGTCAAGAAATTTCATCATTTATACTAATTATTATTCAAGAATAGTTGCAGCTCCAAGTTAAAGGATAGTAAGTAGCAAACTAATACGGTAATAAAAGATCTCATTTTATCAATCTCATAAATTCTTATCAAAGACTATAATGTAGGAGATTTTTAGTCGACAATATATAATTCAAATTTATCTCATCCTATTACATTATTTTCCACCAAATTAGGAGAAATGTAAAAAGTTTAACTAATAAGGAAATTATTAACATCGTTCTTATCTTCGTTTTTTTTTTTGAAGCACCACTTTTTTTTCGCAATTGATTTTTTTTTAAAAAAAACAATTTTATAAATGGAAAAATAGGACGGTGTATATACTAAACCCTATAGCAAGTACAAATTTGATCATAAAGTAAAAAATCTAATCCTCATTTAATCAAGCTGATCGACGAAATTGAACTTTTTTCTTTTTCGCCTTGGCTTTTTTCGAGTGATTATGATATGACGGAGCAGAAATTTCACTGTAGAAAGACTCTCGTTCCAATTCCCGTTTCGTGTCAAACTCTTCATCAGTTGAATCATTAAAAGCAAGATTTTTCTCCTCTTCGGAATGGATGTGTTCAATCGAATAACTTCTATTAGAAGGTATGTATTCTTTCCTACCTCCGTGTCATCCTTAGAAAAAAGATTGTGTTTTTTCTGGAGCTGAAATGGGGGTCCGTGAGTTTAGTGTACCCAAATTTTAGTTGGTAGAAAAAAGTGTTCTTAGGGTTGGAGGGGTAGAAATTTATATGTTTCTCGCATTTATGGTATGCGAAGAAACTGGTATTCGCATTTAACATATGCGAACATCTTTACGTAATTATTTAGTTCAACTTAAACAAATAATATCAACAAATGAGATAACTCAAAGCAAAAGTGTGGGCCATCACACAAATTTCGCAATTGCCAAATGCGAACATATTAGTCTGAATAAATTAAAGCGGACACAGAAAGGAAAGAGAAAAGTGTGGGCCATCACAAAACTTTCGCATTTGACGAATGCGAATATCTTAATATATGAATTATTAAAGCAGACACGGAAGGAAGAAGGAAGATGTGAGTCATCATAAGATTTTCGCATTCAACGAATGCGAACAAAAAAATATAGGTAAAAAAAACGAAATTATCTGTTTATCCTATTAAAATCTGATTGGTCAATAGCTTATCGACACGTGGCAATTGCTGACAATTTGGATAAATGTTCGCATTTGGCGAATGCGAATGTGATGGCTAGACTCATAATTTAAAACTCACACCCCCAATTCGGCAGAACTAAAAACCATCAATTTTTCTTGCATTCAGTTGAAATTTTCATTCCGGTGGAAGAGGCGGAGCAGGAAAGAGGCATTTTTCATATTGAAGGTTGGATGGTTGGACTGAACGGGAGCAAGACAGAGGCAACCCATTTAGGTAAGTTTTTTTTCTCTATGAAATTTGTAAAATTCATACATTCTATTGTCATTTGGGGCTATTAATGTTGTTGTGGTGTACGAAATTACTAAATTTAATAATTTCGGTAGTTATTGAGAATTGGTTTTAGAAAATTTGCTTCAATAAATATATATTTGATGTAGAATGAAGAATAAAAATTATTTTTATGATGTGAATTGTTGAATTTTGTTGAATATTATGAGTTATTTTATTAATTTAGAGAATAACCCGGTTGATCTCGAATTTTTGGTCTTTATACCTCAATTTTGTGAATTTTATATTCTGACCCAATTATTTGTAATGTTATTGATTTGACCCTGTTTTATTTATTTTTTATTCTGTTAATTTTATATTTTATCACCAGCGTTGAGTGCTAAATTCATGTATTGTTGAATAAATTTAGTTTTAATTGATCAAATACATTGTGTAAATCTAAATTTATTAGTTTGATCAAAATTCGTTATTCTTTTAATTGAAAACTTTGTTATATAGATGTCGAATTATATTTTTTGAATTATTAAATTATGTTAGAGATTTTTCACTAAAGATAGGACTTATTGTTAGTTTTTGGAGTAAATTACTGCTAGTGAGGTAGAATATTGTTATAACAAGCATGAATTGATATATTTGTATGTTTAATTGAATAAAAATTAAATGTGCAGGCCCTTAATATGTCTTTTCCGGGTCCCTTCGATCTGAATATATTCTGGTCTAGTGATCGATCATGTTGGGGATATGGGGAGAGGTTATTTACGCCCGATGCAACAGTTCGTATCGATCGAGTGTGGAGTTTCTCTGAACTTGATAATTATGTACACAGGCTGTTAGAATCTGAGAACCAACAAATACTTCCTCTGCAATATGTTTTAGTTTGCACAGATGAGCACGGCAGAAGGGGGCAAGCGCCCATAAGAGACGACGAGTCAATGTCATGGATTTACCGAGGTGCCCATTTGCGTCCAGCATTGTACGTAGAGGTTGCAGATGAACCTGTTCAAGATGTTGGGGAAGGAACTAGTGGTGGTCAGTATGATGGTGCAGGGAGTAGTGGGTTGGTGGTACCAATGAAGATGATGATGACACAGAAGATGACGTACATGGGAACAGTAACGAGGAGTATGTGCCGTCCGATGAGTCTGATGATGATTACAGTGACCATGACGCATCTTCAGTAGTAATTTCTATTTTTGACGACATCAGTGACATGGACAAGTCTGAACTGGATGAGGATTCTAACGGGATCACAATGTGGGATGGTAATTGGCAGACGGTTAGACATGGTGTACATTTTGCTAACAAGAAAGAGGTACAAACAGTTGTGGGGGAATGGACATTGCGACAGGGTCGGGCATGTCGGGTAAAATATAGCCGTCCCTATACGTGGGCCGCTGAATGCGAGACTAAAGGGCCGAAGTACCCAGAAGAACTTCTCCACGACACTACTTGCTTGTGGAAATGTCGAGCTACCCTGCAAAAAGACACAAATACTTGGAGAATGGTGGTATGGATCGAGAGCCACAACTGTCTTGGTGCAACCACAAGAAACGAAGGTCGTAACTTGACGTCCACAATGATTGCTCGATTGATCACAGCCAATGTCCGGAAAGATCCAGGTTATTCAGTCACGCAGATCCAAGTCGAAGTAAATAAGAGATATAGGGTCACCCCCAATTACAAAAAGGTATGGCGTGGTCAAAGAAAAGCACTTGAGAGTCTGTATAGCACATGGGAAAATAACTTTCAACAACTGCCCAGTTTTCGTCGGGAAGCATTGCTCAAAGCGAACCCAGATACCCGTATGCAGTTTAAGTTCACTAAAGATACCAAGAATCGGAAGAAGAAGGTGTGCATGTACATTTTTTGGGCATTTGGGCCAGCTATACATTTATTTAGAGCTGCTTGGCCGGTCATAACCGTCGACGCCACCCACCTCCGAGGTTCATACAAAGCAACATTGATCGTGGCATGTGTGAAGTGCTCGAATAACACAATTGTTCCCATCGCATTTGCTCTCGTGGATAAAGAGACATTGCACAGCTGGAAATGGTTCCTTAAATGCCTGAAAAAATTTGTTCTACTTGACAAGGAGACCTACATTATCTCTGATCGCCATATAGGTATTCTTGCTGCTATGGATGTTATGCTTGATAAATTTCCAGGGATGGGAGTGCACCGTTATTGTCTGCAGCACATCAAAGCAAATTTAGCTGGCAATTTTCCTGGGCAGAAACTCAAAAGACCTTGTCAAAGGGCTTGTTCAATGTTGCAAAAAGGGAAGTTTGAAAAAGAATGGATGAATTTAGAAAGTAAAAATAGAGATGCAGCCATATATCTTCAGCAAATCGGTCTTGAGAACTGTACCCGTTATTGGGACGGGGGATATCGTTGGGGAGAAATGACTTCGAACATATCCGAGAGTTTTAATAATGTCTTAAAAGGTTACCGGATGCTCCCTATCACTGCTTTGATTCTTGCCACATTGTATAAGACTAACAAGTTGTTTCAGGAAAACATAGATGAAATTGACAAATGCCATTCACCCCTCCCGACGAATCCCATGAAACGGTATGAGGATTACTGTATACATCAAATGGGTCACGAGGTTACCAGATTCAGCAAGAGGAATCAGAAGTACCAAGTGGTCACGTACTCACCACCTGATCGGCCATGGAAGGGTGGAAATATCCATGAGGTAAACTACGCCGCCAGGATGTGCACATGTAACAAGTGGCAGACATACAGGTTTCCTTGCTCCCATGCGCTTGCTATTGCCAGGTATCTACGTCATGATCCATTACCCCTTTTTGATTCATTTTATAGTAGGGAACAATGGGCTATTCAGTTTTCTGGAGAATTCAACCCAGTCCTTCAACCATGGCCACAAGCGACGTGGCATCTGAGGCCTAATGATACATTACTCGTACACCATGCTGGCCCAGGTCGGAAGCGTGTGAATCGAAAGAAAGGACTTATGGATTATACGAAAAAATCTGGTAACAAGAGAGTTCAAGTTTGTTGTCGATGTCATCAAGAAGGCCATAATGCCAGTGCATGCGTAGTTGAGAAAGTTTGCGCGCGATGTGGAGGATTTGATCATGATACCTTCAACTGTGCATTCTCACATCCATCTTCAGACAGGACTCCTTTGAATCATTCTTACGATCGATATGGAATGCATGGTGTACCCCATATGCAGACTGATGATTCTGATGATCAATCTGCAGAATTCTGAGTAGGAATTCAAAGTTTATGTTTGCGTAATAATCTGAATAATCTTTAAATAGTGGTTCTGGTAGTGTTTGTGTAGTGGTTTGATTAATTCTGAGTTTGTATTTGTGTAATAAGTCTAAGAATTCTGAATTTGTATTTGGGTTTTGGTTTGTGTAATAATTCGAACAATATGCAAGTCTATGTTTGTATTTGTGTACTGTCCAAGAGTACAAGACTACCCTCAAAGAACATTAGTAAACGTTGTAGTTCCTAGACTGTAGTTAAAATATATTCGCATGTATCATATGCGAACAAAGTCATGCCTCCCATTCGTCGGGCCACGTGGCAAAAGCCATTGTTCCCGAGACCATGAATATTTCGCATAAAGGAAATGCAAACAATATGAAACTGTCTAGGGCGCACCACGTGGCGTCATCTCCTGGACTCCCGTATAGTGGAGTATTCGCATAAGGGGAATGTGAAAATTCTTAATCTGGCCTGGGGTGCCAAGTGGCATCATCTGGGTTAACATCTTGCTCTGCCGGCTCCGTCATATGGATGTCCCAGACTTGGCTGCTTTATTTTGGTATCCGAGAGCCACACATCCCAGGCAGGGTGTTGCGCTAGTTCGGCTTCTTGCAGCGGGTGCCTGACAACACTTTCATCATGGAGGAAAAAAAATAGAAAAGTTGCATAAGGAGACGCGTGGTAAGAAATGTCGAGATGACGTCTTACAGAGGTGGGAGAATCGACACAACACCCTTGCAGGTCTTCAGACGGATATGACTCTTGAACCCCAGGCAGCACCGGAATATCTAGTGTGGTATCAAAATCACACTGTCACTTTGGTCACCAATCCATCAGACTATCGTCAGCCCCAGGGTTTTCAGGAATCTGCTGAGTCACTACATATAATGGTAAGTTACAGTTCTACTATTTCTTTAATCACACCCATATTAATATGATTTTTATACATATAACTTTCTAAAATGTTATTTCCTATTTTTAATTTACCATATATATTTTCATTTATAAAATATATTTATTATATATTTTTAATTTACCATATATTTATTTCCTTTCATAATTTTCAGGCCAATTTAGTGCAAAACATGCGGCATATTACTCTAGATGGGCTACAACGTAATCCAGCTGATTCTTGGAATCACAATGCCTTCCTACAGCTCCACGATTTGACACAGCAGGCAATGACTGTCAGCAAGACATCTGTTTGGGCTGATTGTGAGAACCCAAACCAAGATTTTGTTCCAGCTGACCCAACCCAGGAGTATATCCCACCTAGGCCTCCCAGGACTGACCGAGGCGGCTTCAGGTTAGGGAGTGGGAGAATGAGAAAACCTGTGGCCACCCAGGATACTGGCGGGCAATCTTCTACCCCGCATGTGTCTCCTTACCGTCGAGCATCGCCACACCACCATCCCTCTCCTCCTTTTGAGCAAATGCATTTTGATTCAGATTTTATTAATCCAGATCCTAATGCTGGGGGTTTCTTTGAGACTAGTTACGAGGGTGGTCATCATAGTCAGCATCTAGCTGGTGACGATATCCATAATGATCAGGAAGATGATCAAGATCATGAGGATATTGGGGATCAGGAGCATGATGATGATGCTGATGATGCTGAGCATTCCTCTCATGATCATGATGAGGGCGCTGATCAGGGACAGGGCCCCAGTGATGGTACCATGCCTTTTACACCGATTGCTTTGGGTAAGGAACAGCGGAACATAAAGAAGAAGAAAAAGTGCTGCATGACAGATTCTCAGGAGAAAAAGCGCAAGATGTAGAAAAATTAGATTGAATTGTACTTTTATTTTATGCTATTTTATGACTTTTGTTATTAGTTTTAAGCAATACCTTTCATTTCTTTTCATTAACAATTTATTTCGGTTTTATTTAATCTTTAAGATAAAAAAAAATTAAAAGGCAAACATTAAAGAAGAAAATTTCTCAAAAAGACAATATTATGTACAATTTTTTTAACTCTTACTTTTATACAATACTATCTTTTTCGTCATGCCAAATTTAAGTTTCCAGGTCGCCAAAAGATCATTGTTAGAAGGAAGTGTGGTTTTATCAAGTTTAGCAGGACTGATTATGTCAGATTCTAAAAGTTTTAGTTTTTTTCCTTACTTTAAATGAATTGATTCTAAGTTTTATTATGTAAAAAATATTATTATCCTAAAATTAATAAACTTGATTTTTTGACATTAAATTTTTAATGATGGTAAGTTTTTAAATTGAAATCAAATAAAAGTCAATTTTTTTAAAAGCAAACTTGGTTACAAAACGCAAGATTATATTCTAATTTTCCACCGAAATTTTAATTTACTTCTTATTCAAATTTTATTATAAATGCATTATACGATTTCTGTTCACCAAATATAATTTTTAGGATTGCAATTCTATTTAGAACTAACATAAATTTACTTAAATCAAATGAATACTTTAAATTTAGAAAATTTAATTTTCAATTAAAATAGCATTTTTTTGTTGAAATATTACAACATTTTATCAACCAAAATATTTAATTTACAACATTTCATTTTATACCAATTTAAAGTTAGGAAACAATTTTTAAATACAAATTTAATACATTCGCATATGGCATATGCGAAAAGTTAACTTTCGCATACCCCGAATGCGAACAATTAAAATAATTATAATTATCCAGTTTTAATCCAACGTCTTTAATGCATTGTAATCAATCCAATACATTTTCGCATTTGCTGAACGCGGGAGTTGGTTTTTTCGCATTTGCCAAATGTGAGAAACATATTTCTTTCTACCTCCGAAAACCTAGCCATAGTCCTGCTTACACCACCAATTTGGGAGCATATTTGTGTCATTTTTCGGCTGAAATGGATAGTAAAACTTGGAGAATCTGTATTTGTGATGAAGAGAAAAGAGAAAATTCCGGTGCAGCAGGGTTCAATTTGTGTGCGTTGCCTTCGTTAGTGATTTTTTGCGAATTTACTTTTCCATACTTTGAGGGAGAGGGAGGCGGAATTGGAGAGCAAATTGGAGAGCTAGAATTCGTATTATCCTCATTTAAAAGGGTGATATTCTGATTTGTGGGGATAAGATTCTCCTCTTTTGGCTTTGCTGATTTGGCCGCTGATGTCGCAACATTTGAAAGCGCCGGGTTGTCCAAAGTGATTGAGTGCGACTTATCTTCATTCAAATTTGAATGCGCCGGATCAGCCGCTGACGCTACATGACTCAGTTGCACAGCTGCGAAGTCCGCAACAATCGCAGCCGCAACTGACGCGCAAGGGATTCGCGGACTTGTTGTATGATCTTCCTTCCTCGCCGGTGACTCCTGCCGACCTTCCATTGCCGGCGGTGAAGTTGCTTCAATTTGGGCAGCAATTGATGGTGCAGAAATTGGATTCACTCCACGGTTCATCGGTGTAGCATTCGGAGCAGCGATATTGATAATTCGCTGATCAGAAGTTGCACCAGCAATGATAGTTTGATGATCAAACGGCACTACAGTAACAAAAATAACAGTAGTGCCGGCATCATCAAGAGATGCCCGCAGATCAGCAGGGTTTCAGAAAGGTATTGGTGTTCAGCGGCTTCATCTGGAGGTTGGGCCTCTTTAGCAGCAACCACGTCCTTGGTGTTTCTCTGGTCAGCATTGGCTTGTTGCGCGACAGCCTTTTCTATCGGAGGCGGTTTGTCAGCTCCCACATCAATGATTTGTGTCTCTTTCTACACAGGCTTAGAACCGGCAGCAGCACTGGTTGGCAACGATGAAATTAGCACATCTCCGACAGCAACGGATGACGGAATCTGCACATCATTAGAAGGTGTAGAATTCAGCTATAATATATTCAGTACTTTCGCATTTGATTGTTTGCTGTGTGATTGATTTTTTGATTCTTGTTTTGAAGGGAGCAAATCTTTCTTTTGTGATGATGATGCTCTTGTATTAAGTCGACAAGAATTATGGTCATGTCCAATTTTCTTGCAATGAACACAATATTGGAGCATGTTTTCATAGAATATTGGTTGAAAATAAGTTGCCCCTTCAACTCCCAGCCTGATTCGAATAGGATGCTCCTTGAGAAGATCCAATTCTACATAGACTCGTGCCATAGACGGTCATGACATGTTGAGCGTTGGGACGTCAATTTGAAGAGGGAATGGGAAGGCCCTCGAAGGAGATCCAAACTGGTACAATGGAACTTTCGTCTGCTGGATTAAAATCTGTGGTCCATTTTAGAACTCGCATACGATGCGAATCAAATGTCCATAGACATTTTAACCAGAAATGATGGATGTCTTCTTTCAAATCGAAGCAGATGAGGATATGTCAGGAGTCAATTGATCCAAGGGAGAAGCTTCCTTTGAAACCAATAATTTGAAATTCTCTCCGTAAGTAGTCTATTCTCAGACGGCCTTTAGTGAATTTCCCTATAAGGGCTAGACGGAAGGGGGCAGCCAATTATTCATCTTTTTCTTTAGTAAGACGAAAAGTGGGCTCACCTTTGTATATAGTTGGTTCTGAATGAATTTTAAGTTGACTTAGATTTTGATGTTTGATTGAGTGATTTTGTATAGTTTTTGGATTTGCCTTTCCCAAGATCTGAGCAAAAGATGGTTTATTTGGTTGTGTAGGGCCCATGGCCGGCGGGGCGGAAGGAAGAGAGACGTCAAAGAGAAGGAAGAGAAGGGAGAGAAAAAAATACATCTACTGCCCAAAGAAGTTGACCATATCGCAATTGTATCCCCCTCTAGGTAATAATTTTAGTGTGCATGTACTTGAATTTTTCTTGAATTAGTTATAATCTACTAAAATATAATTTGTCACGTTTGACTTAATAAAAAAATGAAACATTTGGAAAATGATAATAGTAATGACGAATAATTGCTTTTGTTTTTATGACTTGGTAATTTCTCATGGAGATCAGGAGCCAATAATAATACTAGTAATATTTAGAATTTTTTGACGTTGTACATTATTTTTATAAGTCGTTTTTTCTTTTAATTCTAACCAGTTAATAGGGTTTCTACACTTGGTCATTCACCCTTCATTTCTCCATGAAAATCAAAAGAATAGAGGATTCAAATTACCATTGGTTTTTTTGCCTTAATTAATTTGTTTGTGCAATAAAACATGTAGGCGACATCACGACTTACGCACAGCTTTCATTTGGCCTTTTTTTCTTCTTTGAGATACGTGAATTAATGGGTTAATGCTGGCAAATTAGCCTCTAGCAAATGGAGTAAATTTATTTAAAGTCCATTGAATTCTATTTAACTTGTTTATGAAGAAAATACGAAGTTTAAAAAGGCCTTGAATCCTGAAAATCATTTAATTTGGCATTATATCTTGCTTGCTCGAACCATATATATGTTGCTCTGAGGGGATAGACTTAGTTGAAGCTTCCAAGGTGGTCTTAATTGATGTAGTCAGGAATCCTCAGTGGAAAAAGGCAAGCAATAGATCCTGCACACAAGGTTGGATTAATAGAAGACTGTGCACGCTTACCTCTTTTAGATAAAAATAAATTAATTACGAAAAATTAATTACAAAGAAACTCACACGCCCTTAATGAAAATATATATATATATTTATCAAAATTCATCATTCAAGATTTTTTCTTTTTTTGATAATATTATTCATCAATCCATGAAAACTATTTTACCAACCCGTTAAATAAACATTAATTCGTTTTTGGGGGATAAAAAATAATGACAATTTATTGAAAATTAATTCAAGTCTTAACTAAACTTTAAAAAAACAAATAAAACCTAGTTTCACTACGAGTGAAATCATTGCAAGAAAATTTATCAGAATGTCGAACCTGCGTGTTTATGTAGGAGCTTAAGGCCTTAAATTCCGTAAATCTACTTCATAAGTTACTCTATATATCCTGAGAGCCCTTTTTTTCATCCGTTTCTTTTGGGAACAATTTTTTTTTAATGTTATGAGTAAGCCTCAATATTTTCTGGTCTTGCACATTGAGAATAACCTGAACATAAAGAAGGGAATATAATGGGTGGTGAAAATGACTGCACTGAGCTGCAAGCAAATCTCGACTTCCTTGTATTTTTTGCAGATTCTTGTATCTACAAACAATGCTGTGTTTACTTTCATACACTATCTACAGCTAAAGGCTGTGAATAGATTCCCCAAAAAATTAATTAAGAAAAAAAAACAGAATATACCACTAACATAGAAGGCCTAAGGAGTAAGCACAAGATAAATTTAGTCATATAACGAGGAACTCATCAAAAAGCAAAAAGGATCAAACAACAGATTGTTAACTTCATCCCCCACAAATTTACAATCGGGGTTATTCCTTTTTTTTTTCCCCTGTTAGTATAAGAGTCGAAAAATAGAAACTTGATATGTGTATATTTCCTCTATCTACATTATACCACTAATTATCTTTAGTTGTAACACTTAAACTAAAATGTAAAATTAACTAATATCGGGAACATTTTGACGTTTTAGTCTTGTTTTCCGAAATGATAAAAACACATTAGGATATAAGGACTTTTGCACGGCTTTTATTTTCCTTAGTTTCTTCAGCTGGGAATTTGTAATCTATAATGAAGCATGATCGTTGGCCGATATTAATCTACTGGACATGTTTGAGCAGATTATCTTTCAGTCCAAGGATCGAGGCCAATCTCATTGGAGTCCCAGCCTCCAAGGTATAAACTGGAAAGCTTGGATGAATTTTATAAGAAAATTTTCTGTTTTACCAATGCATTTTCTTCAGTCCCGAATAAATTATATCTATATTCAAAAAAGTGTTTGATTTATTTAGGACAACTTACATAAATTTCAAGGAAAATGATTTATTCAGTAAAAATAAATAATAATTACAAAACAAGACGGTTACTTCTATCACATGTGCACAGTTATAAAATGATACATGTTTCTCACATTTCAGTATAAATTAATTTTCAGCTGTTGGATATATTGCTCGCAATTTAATTCAATTAAAAAGACTTTCTTGTTGATCAAACAATTCCATCACCAATAACAACTTGATTAACTAATCAAATTTAGTGCGAAGCTCGTGCTGATCTAATTTTGCAGTAATTAAATTAACTTTCTTAAATTTATTTATTTATTACTTATTTATTTTTGTTACCAGAAATTGTAACATTTATTAGAAGCTTGATAAATACAAAGAAAGATTTGCACAAGTGAGAAGAGACATTGGTCTTATCAGCTAATAGATAGATCCAAGTAGTGCGAGAAAAACCATCCACAATAGAAATTATAACTTCTTCCTTTCATGTATAAATTTAAACTAAAAAAGCTTCTCGATATATACAATAAGTTTTTTTTTTTTGGTCAAAGGTAAGCTCCTGTGTATTTCAATTGCACGAAAACCCCATGTACATCTCCTACTCTAGTACATAAATCAATGAACAATGACAACTAACTCTGCCAAAAACCCATCTGTTGCTGCTTTTTCTTTCCTATACAAAAACTGAAGTTTGCATTTTATATCCTGCTTAACACTGTCAGGCCTCACCTTTGCTTCTGTTTCCAAATTTGCTACCCTCCTATGATTCCTTTCCATCCATATCTGATAGATAATAGCAATCAAACGAGCGTGGAAAGTCTTTTGCTTCACTGGAGTGTACCTCCAAATGCGACTAAGACTCCCAGTCTGCAATCCTCTTATTTCATTCTTCCAACCAATCCAAGTACTGACCTCCTTCATTAACTCATGTGCATATGGACATCTGAAAAACAAGTGCTTTACTGTTTCTGCTTCACCCTTACACAACAGACATTTATCATCATCTATTGTGACCCCCATTCTCTGCAATATATCCATTGTCAACAACCTTCCTTCCCATGCAAGCTAGATGATCATGTTGTGTTTTAGCAAGGTGTATCTACTCCATATTATCTTTGCGGTTGTGAACTGCTCCATCTCCTTTCTCATCCATTGATACCCAAGTTTGGCAGTGTACTGATCACCTTGAGGTAAGTATCTTCCATCAATCCTCATGATCTCATAGAATTGGTTCTTCAGATTAACTAACTTCTTCCAGTGTCAACTGCTACTTTGAGTGGTTTAATATATCTCCTAGTTCTTATTCTTGATGTAGTATATATGCGGCCATTTGATATATAAACTATCCTTCTTCTAGGCTATATCCCATAACTGTTTTCCCAAAACAACCTTATTCCACACTACAGGCTCCTTTATATTTAAACCACCCTCTCCTTTAGGTCTACACACAAGATCCCAGGCCACCAAATTCCATACTTTACCATTCTCCTTCTTCCCCCATAGAAACTCTCTGCTACACTTGACAATATCTTTGATCACCTTCCGAGGGATCAAGAATATTCTTTCCCAATAGGAATTCAGATTGAGAAGAACTGAGTTGATCAACATGACTCTATCAGCATGGGATAGATTCCTAGTTGACCTGCTCTTGATTTTTCTCATTATCTTCTCAACCATCAAATTACAATCATGTTTAGTCCGGGAAGTAGGTGAGATAGGCATACCAAGATACTTCGTAGGGAATCTTTCAATACCAAAGCCCATGATGTTCTAAATTTGCTCCTGGACTGACTGATTAACTCCACCAAAGTAAACACTTGACTTCTACAAGTTGATACTCAGCCCTGTAGTGTCTGCAAAGTGATCAAGCACCTTTATTATTCTTTGTACTGTTTCAATCTCAGCTCCACAGAAAATAAGTAAATCATCTGCAAAGCTCAGTGAGATGATCTTCAGTTTGTCACATAAAGCATGATACTTGAATCCTCCTTTTTCAACGTCATATTTGAAACATCTTGTCAAATACTCCATCACCAACACAAAGAGAAGAGGAGACATGGGATCTACTACCATTTATATTCAGAGTGTATGAACAAGTAGTAATACACTCTATTATCCACTGTGTTACTCTCAGGGGAAAGCAATATTCTTCCAACATCTCATCTATAAAGCTCCAATGCACAGAGTCATAAGCTTTCCTCAGATCTACTTTGATAACACAACATGCAACAGTATTCTTCCTGTTATATAATCTGATCAATTCCTAAGTGAACAGTATATTGTGAAGGATCACCCTGTTCTTGATAAATGCACCTTGGTTTAAAT